ATTATGTTTCTGGGTCGCTCACACAAAGAGGGGCACTCAAGACACAATCCAGATTGCACTGTCAGGCTAGGGGCACGAGATACTCGAGAGATTTTTGCTTATAATTTTGCCTGCGACACTAGACCGAGACGCCATTAAAGCATTTTCTTTCATCTATCATTTCCGAGCACTTTTTCTTTTATTCTTTTAAGGATTTCGTTTCTCGCTTTGTTGTCTGCAAATTGCTCAAAAATACACACGCACACACACACACACGCATCAGAAGTGCACACACGAATACGCACGATTGTCCCTCCCACCCTTTGCACGCTATGTATCGTATCGTAGTATTTGTTGTTTTGCCATTGCACTGTGTTTTTTGTGACCTTTAGTTGTCACTTTTGTCGCGTTTTTGTTGCTTTTCTTATAAATACTTTCGAGAATTACAGCTTATTGCTAGTTTTGTTTTTATCTATTAATGGCTGTGTGCATGTGTGTTGTTCGCGTGCGTCGCTCTTGAGTGTATTGTATCGCACTAGCCAATCCAATATTTAGCAAAACTCTGTGTATCCCACATATATGAATATGTTTGTCTGTATATACATAAATAGCACTATTATGACGTCACTCTTGTTTTGGTCTCTAAATTCTTTTCAAGGCCCTCTATACATCGACACGGGCAACGACACTGCTCCCCGGGACTTTGCGAGTGTTCTTTCACACGATCGGTGTTGTATATTATATATAAACATACATTTAATCTCGATATTAACTCGAGTTAGCTCGGAAATCGGAAAACTCGAGTTTTCCGCACACAAAACAGTGACCGCGGACTTATCGATAATATATACCGTCTGGCCCTCATAAAAATACCTTCTCATGTTCAAAATATACCGAGGAAGAATCAAACTTAGTCCATTTAACCCCGCCCTAACTAAACGCACCAGCAAATTCAACTTAAATCAAGGAAAATAATACTTATGTATGGACCTTGTAGCTCCATGCTACTATTTGACAGAAAAAACATAAATGACTACGATATCACTCACCTGGGGTTAATAAAGGCAGCAGCACTGAAATAGGTATCGATAGTTGGATTTGCGCGTTGCGTTAGAAATTAATTTAGAAAATTAATATTTAAATTAAGGAAAATGCTTGTTTTAAACGCAATTCGATAATTTTTATTTATAATTAAATCATTGTTTCATTAATAATAATTACAATTATTTAAAAATTAGACGTGGCTGCTGCTGCATTTCGATTTATATGATCAAGAGAATGTTGATTTTTAATTGAATGTGAAATTATTTTGCTTTTCTTTCTTGCATTTCGCTTCGTTTCTTTTTTTGTTTTGTTTTGCCGTTATAAGTCTACACATATGCTATGTAAGTGTGGGTGTACATATGTATGAGTCTTTGAGTGCAGCTCGGGTGTGTGTGTGTCTGTCTGTGTGCTGTTGCAGCGGCGTGGCAGTGGCTTTCTATCGAGTTGTTTTTGTTTTCCTTATTTTGCAATTTAATTTAATTCAAACGATGTTTTTCTTTCCAATAAACAAATTAAAAAAAATAACAAAAAAAATGATTAGCTGTGCGAAGGGCGGGAGAGGTTTGTGCTTTGAGGGCCGAAGACCATGTGGCGAGGTGGTACAGATACAAAAAATGCGTATCACAAAAATATGGTTAGAACAAAATGGTTATAAACATGTCATAGTGGTGCATGAAACGAAATATATCACAAACAATTTGCTATCAAATAATTTAAAAGATAATCACAATTGGTTCTGAACCATGCAACTGAAATGATCGATCCTACAACCGAGAAATGTGTTTAAAATGCTTTGTACATATATTAATTCGCTTCCTGTTGTTCGTGCATACATATGTACGAGTATATATATATTCCTAGCTGCCACGCCATTAAACCACACAGTTGCCCGCCTAAGTTTTACGATTCGACTGGCCCTGGGCCTGCGCCTGCTGCTGTCCCTGCTTGCAGAAGTCCTTGTACGCGCGCTCGGTCTCCTCGTCCATTTCGGGATCGAGATCCAGGTCGCTATCCCGCACATCGAAGTCGTCGCCGTCACTGCCATTGGCATCGTCCTCGGCAGCAAGGAAGTCCGTCTCCTCGGCGGTCAGCTCATGGCCATCTGGGCCGTAGAAAACGGGCTCGTCGCTGAGACGCGGTGGCTCTGCCACAGTGTCCTCCTCGCCACCAAGGGTATTGGAGACCTTGCGGCCCCAGTTGTTCTGCTGCAAGGCAATGACGCTGGCGGCCATTGCATACTTGCCGGCGGTGTTCAGATCAATCACTTTCAGGGCTGTGATTATTCTCAGCATGTCGTCTGGGCAGTATGCGCTAAGGTCGTAGCCGGCCAGCTTCAGGGTCTGGCAAATGCAGCGCACGTTCTCGGCACTTTCGCAGGCCAGCAGCTTGGTCAGAGAGTACACAATGTTCACGGCAATGAGTTGGATGCGGGCATCGTCATCCCCACGGAGCTGCATGTACAGCTCGGCGAGGAAGAGTGCAGTCTCGCGCACCTTTTGCTGCTCCCCAGAAGACATGTACTTGGTCACCTCCTCCTGGTGGTAGTCGAGCTTGCATTTGAGTAGAGTGTGGAATAGCGAGTCCGGTTTGGGGTTCAGCATGTGCAGCAAATTGTACAGCTTGGCCCCCATGTACCGGAAGTTGGGCTGCTCGATGGATTTCTCGAATATATCCTCCATGGCGATCGACAGCACGTAGTGGTTGTGCTCCATGCCGTCGAAAATGGTTAGGAAACGTGATGCGATTGTGTCAAATTGGCCCGGATTCTGAAAGATTATTCAAAAAGGACAGCGGTTAGTGGAACGGAATGGAAGAGGTGGTGGGTCTGACTGCTCTTACCTGGTTAAGGCAATGTATCACTGTATCGAGATACTCCAATGCAATGGTAGCCATGTCCGGCTGCGACGCGTTCGACGACGACGAGGACGAGGCTGCTGCGGACGAAGTAGAGGCTTGCGGCTGCTGCTGTTGATTTTGGAAATACTGCTGCTGCTGCTGCTGCTGCTGCTGTTGCTGACGGTGTTGGAATGAATTGTTTAAGTGAGCGTAACGTTGGAATTTCCCGTGTTGATGTTGTGTGTTCTGTTGGTGTGGCAGTTGCTGTTGTACCTGCTGCTGATAGTAATTGCCCCCCATCGAGCCATTGTTCGAAGACTGCTGCTGATTGGACACGTTCAGACGGCTTTGGAGAGAGTTCGGGAGATTTTGCATATCGTTCTTAAACTTCTGCTGATGCTGGTGGTGATGATGGTTGTTGTAGTGTTGCTGATGCTGCTGATGATGATGCTGCTGATGCTGATGATGATGCTGCTGCTTGTACCCATTCACATAGCGTGGCTGCTGCTGCTGCTGCCCGTAAGGCGCTGATCCTCCTGGCTGATGCTGCTGCTGATATTGCTGGTGTCGCTGTTGGGGCGCGACTGCCCTCGGTATAAAAATAGTAGCGGCCGCCGACAGTTTCGATGAGCCGTCGAAACCGCTGGCCAGCTCAGACAATGCCTGGGCTGGAGCCTGTGCGTAACCGACTGCCTGGCCACCAGCGTACTCACTCTGTGCATAGCCCGCGGCTCCGCCATAGTCGTTGAATAGGTGCGCCTGTTGCTCTATCGGAATGGCGGCGCCATGGGGCAAGCCAGCGGCGGCGGCATTGCCCCCGGGGTTCGGTCGACGGAGTTGCTCATACTGGTCTTCGGGTTGGAAGGTTGCGCGGCATGACATAGCGATAGCGGCGTCGTTCTCGAAAACTATAAAGAAAACACACAATATTAGCTCTGATCACGTTTTAAACAGCACCAAACAAATCACATTCATGATCCAAAGATGCGGTTACGTAGACGCCGAGCGCCGACGCCGATTCCGCCACAATTGCGGACATTTTGTTTCTTCGCTGGGTGAGTTTTTTTTTTCAAGCACAAAGAATCGTCTGCTTAAATTTGCTTCACCGACTTGCACTGCCCCACAATACTTTCTGACACTGTTGCTTGAGTTTTTCAATGCCTACCTTAATTTGATCGAAATTATACGTATACGTCGTTGGTTTTTTTTTTCGTCTTGCTTGCGTTGTCACCTTTGCTTTTGCTGCCTTTCAACTTTCGCTTGCTCGTGTCTCCGTGTCTGTCGCAAATAGAATAATGGCCGATAAGCTCAAGTGCTTGCAATGTGCATATATTGAGATGCGGGATGCTAATATAATATTTGTTGTCGCTTTACTTTACATACCAATTATTAATTTGCAAAAGATAATTAACAATTTCGCCTTTTCACTGTCTTGTGCAGTGTAATCAGTGTGACCGCAGAACTATCGATAAAATATACCGTACAACTTAAAAGGTGTACCAAAATATACCGTGTCATTGTAAAAATATACCGTAGTCTTAAATCACATTCCTCGATTTTGAAGTTCTATTTGATATTACTAGCTTTCGAAGACCTTTATCACTGAAACAATAGTTTAATCCAATTGAAGAATCAATTTGGCTTATTGTAGATACTAATTTTTATTGGATTGTATACCTTATGACTACAGTTTACAAATTTGTATTTGCAGTTCAATCTGTGGACAGATATGAATCTATCGATATATATTTATTGTTGGTTATTTGGACTTCCGAAGATATTTGGAAAATGGATATATCTGTAAGATACATCATCAGGGGCACTGTTTCAGTTTGTTTTACGTCGCTAGACAATACATACCTGTTTATTTTTGGGTCTTATCAATTCATAAGGTGATTTACAAGAAATATCGGTACTTTTGTGCGATAAGTGGACCCAATTCGGACATATTTCTATAGTGGAGAATATTATAGTCGAGATCCGATTTTGTGCCATTTGGGGGCATATTCCAGTCCAGTATTCAATTTCACATCATTTTAGAGTATAACAATTTCAACCAGCCCAGATAGTTGAATATGCCATCGAGATTGTTTCATTTTTTGTTATTTATTCGCTCCCACCAAACGGTCACACTAGTTAGTGTTTTTGTTGTGCTGCATGTGCGCAATTTTTTGTGAAATTTTAATTTTTTAAATATCGTCGCAATTCTCATAACTTGTGATAACTATGACAATGTGAAAGACAATAGAACGCAGAACTCGTTCAGCCGATGTAACAACTAGCTTAAGATTAAGTGCAATACATACGTATATAATCATTTCTCATTTAATGTAAGGACAACGGTTTCGCTTCGTTATAAATAAACAGAAACGTAAGTATTGGTGTGTGGCATTCGTTCGTGAATATGTATAGGCAGGTTGCAGGTGCAAATGCACTGGTATTGTGCAGTATAATTGTTCAACTAGTGCCAAAATCTAATATATAATTAATTTACGTGTTTTATCAACACCACACCCCCACATCGCTTCTTCCCCTCGGTGTGCATACGTGGTGGTGGTGGTGTGTGTGTTTGCTTTCTTTTGTGTTTTGTTTCTCTTTTAATAAATTCATGGCATTGTGACTCAAGAGCGCGCACACACACACACACACTCACAACCCAACACTCCAAGTTCATTCACTTGTGTCTCTCTTGTTATGCTTAAGCCACAGTTATCTACACATCCCCCAGCCAGCCAGGCTCGGGATTCTCAGCTATGAGTCACCCGTCTTCGATTTGGCGGGAAATCGACAGATAATCTAATCGAAGTGCTAATTTAACAAGCTAATAGTTTAGTGTCCCCGTTTGGAGACGAGACAGTTCACTAGAATTTCCTTTTACGATTGCGGCTGGCGGCTGGCTGTGTGTCACGAATTACGAGTCTTTTCGAGTTGATCAAGTTTTTATATTTTCTTGACGGTCAGCACACAGAAGGAATCGTCATGGTCCACGCTCGTTGCACGTATCCAATTTTACCATTCGCTGATAGATTGTGGGTCAAGATTTGGACAAGTTTTCTGAACAAAGAGTAACGCGAATGTTTTTGCACATTTTCCAGGCTTCTTTTTATAGAACATCACCATGGACACTGATTTGAATGAGATGCACTACCATTACAAGGATATATTGTCCGTGTTTCTGGACGCGTTCATCGAGGACTTTGACTGCAAGGATGTGGAGGACTCGCTGCGCTCGATACTAACCAAAAGGGAAATCGATTTCATCATCTCGTCGAACCAAACGAATGTCAGCATTTACCTTTTGTTTTGGAAGCTGCTCGAGAAGCCCGAGAGCATCGTTCAGCGGTTCGTCGAGGAGGTGCTCAATTACCGCGACGGTGCCAACTATGATTTCCTGATGACGCCCATCAAGGCCGAGTATTTGCAGCCGAGCACCAACACCAGGCTGTACGTGGAGCAGCGGGATCGCTTGTTCAATGACAATCAAGCCTTCTCCAAGTACAATGTGCCACGCCTGAAACCGGTAAGTGACACGATGAATGAAAGGTTTTCACAGATTTTCAATGCATTTACTTTCCGTGGATAGTATCTAGCCTTGACCAAGGCCCTGCTGGAGTTGAGGCCCGCCAAGAATGTTTTAGTGGATGGCCCCTTGGGTGCCGGCAAGCAGTGGCTTGTGCTCGACGTTTGCTCCTCGTACAAAGTGCAGCAGAAGATGGACTTTAAGATATTCTGGCTGAACGTGAAGAGCTGCAACAGCCCCGAAACAGACCTGGAAATGCTCCTCACACTGCTCTACCAAATCGAACCGAATTGGAGTGGTCGCTGCGACTCGGGCAGCTGGAACATCATGCAGCGCATTGATAGCGTGAAAGTCGAACTGCGACGGTTGCTCAAGAGCAAACCGTACGAGAATTGTCTGCTGGTGCTGCGCAATGTGCAGAGCGTGCGCACCTGGAAAGCTTTCAATCTCGGCTGCAAGATTCTGCTGACCACGCGGTACAAGGTCGTCACCGATTACCTGTCGGCGGCGACCACCAAGCATGTGCCGCTGAAGGATGCGCTCACGGAGCACGAGGCCGAGTCGCTAATTGTCAAATATCTCCACTGCAGGCCAGAGGATTTGCCCAGAGAAGTGCTGACGACAAATCCACGCAGCCTGAGCATCATTGCAGAGAGCATACGCGACGGCCTAGCCACATGGGAAAATTGGAGAGAGTGAGTCAAGCGAAGTTCCCTTCTATCAATCGCTTTAATCTCTTTTGCTTCCTCGCAGCGTAAACTGCAACAAACTCACGAGCATTATTGAGAGTTCGCTGAAGGTGCTGGAGCCGGTCATAAATATAAATATGTTCGATAAGCTGTTTATATTCCCACCATCAGCGCACATACCCATACATGTGAGTAGCCCCTCCATTGACTCATTGTCATTATTTAACTTATCTTTGCTCTTTATTTGTTTGCAGCTCCTATCTCTGGTTTGGTCTGACGATAAATCAGATAGCGATGATCCAATGGTGGTAGTGAATAAGCTGCACAGATACTCCTTGGTGGAGAAGCAATCCCAGCAGTCGACCATAAGTATACCCGCCATATACTTGGAGCTGAAACTGGAGGTGGACAATGCTGCGGCACTTCATCGGCGCATTGTTGATTATTACAAGTGGGTCCCGGAATGCCCTTTGCTATCTATTTTCATTTAAAATTTCATTCCTTTCCTGCTGCAGCATCACAAAGGCCTTTGACGATGATGATGACCTGACGGTGCCCTTTCTGGATGGATATTTCTATTGCCACATTGGCCATCATTTGACCAAATTGCAGCACGCCGAGAGTGTGGCTCTGTTCCGCAAAATATTTCTCGATTTTCGGTTTCTTGAGCAAAAGATACGACACGATACGACAGCGTGGAATGCCAGCGGTTCGATACTCAACACGTTGCAGCAGTTGAAATTCTACAGCTCCTACATTATCGGTGAGCAGTCCATTTGTTACACGAAATGTGCCTCGAATTAATGCCACTTTGGTGTCCACCAATTAGACAATGATCCGAAGTTTAGGCGCCTGCTGAATGCGCTACTGGATTTCCTGCCAAAGATTGAGGAGAGCCTCATACGTTCCAAGTTTACGCGGCTGCTGCGCATCGCTCTGATGGCCGAAGAAGAGGCCATTTACGAGGAGGCCTACCGGCAGGTGCAGCGTTTCGGCGATCAAGTTTGGTTCACAGAGCAGTAAGTAAAAGGGTTTGAAAATGAACTGCAACCAATGTAAAACTTTTCCGTTTGCAGCGGTCGCTTTCACCAGCATCGGCAGATCATCAACCTGGGCCAGAATGAGGTGCGACACGCGCTGTACCTGAACAATGACTTCTGCCTGATGGCGCTGGCCAGCAATCAAATGCTGCTGACGGACGTCTCGCTGGAGGCGGAGGACACGTATCTGCTGAAGGATGACAACGACAGCAGCGACATCCTGAAAATGGCCGTGTTCAATCAGCAGAAGCATCTGCTCACGCTCCACAGCAATGGCAGCGTGAAGCTCTGGTCGCTGTGGGCCGAGTGCTTTGGCCGGCGACACAGCAGCGGAAGCCGCCAGCGCGTGCGGCCGCCACACCTTGCCCATTTGCGGCAGTATGCGGCGACGCGCACGTACAAGCAGCTGGTGAATGGCATTGCCAAGCGTGCCATAAACAGCTACCAGACCATTGACCAGAGCATTGTGGCGTTCCACCTGAACGAGGCGGCTACAGTGGGCGACGCAAAGATTCAGCTGCATGTGGTCTTTAGCAATGGGGATGTCTGCATCTGCGAGTGGGATGACAGGGACCAAGTGTTCAAGTCCTCCAATACGCCCACCCTCAAGACCCAACAGCTGCGTGTGCGCTGCTTCGTTCAGGTGCTAAATCGTTACTATGTCATGTGCACCGCCGACTGCACGCTCACCGTTTGGGATCTGAACAACGGGTCGGGCGATAAGCCAGAGCTTAGTGGGTATGATGTCCACAATGATCCACCGCTGGCCATTGAAGCCTACAACGAACGCAGCCAGCACTCGACACTGCTGCTCATCCACAGGTACAGCGTGTGGCGGTTGACCTTCGAGCCTGGCGACCATCAACAGCCACTGGTGCGGCTGCAGTCAGAGCCTGTGCAGCTTCCGGACATGAGTTTCATTAACTGCGCCAAGGGATCGGCGGATGGCCGCTATCTGATCCTTGGCACATCCGTGGGCCTCATTGTGTACGACATCAAGCTGTCGGATCCCGTGCTGCGCAGCAATGTCAGCGAACACATCGACTGCGTGGACATCTACGAGCTGTGCGATCCCATTTACAAGTACATTGTGCTGTGTGGTGCCAAGGGGAAGCGCCTGCTGCACGTCCACACACTGCGCAAGGTGAGCAGCATGGAATCAGGCATTACGTGGGTCCACAACGTGGACGAGACCAGGGGCATGACACGAGCCTGCCTCGAGCCTAATGTCTATCTGCGCTCGCTCCTAGACATGACCAGCAGGCGGTCGCAACTGCTGGCCGTCGACTCCAAGGAGCGCATCCATCAGATTGAGACCACCGCAGATCCCAGTGCTCGCCGCAGGTCCAGCATTTCGTCCTGGTCCACGATTACACCCACGCATGCGGCGAGCAAAACGAGCATATCCGCAATATCCGCCCACGATGATGATCACATCTATGTCGGCTACATGGATGGGGTAATCATCGATGTGAACCGCGATGTGGTGCTGAAGCAACAGTTTATCACAGAGCCCATCGACTACCTCAAGCAGATCAATGCCCAGCTGCTGGTGGCATCGGCGCGTGTGCCACGCAAAACTGTGATATTCAGGCTGCAGCCAGAGCAGCCAGTGGCTGGCAATGGCACGCCAGTGGATTGGCCAATTCAGCTGGAGCTATACACCAAGTATTCCTGTCTTTTGGGTGGCAAGTTCTTGCTGCTGTTCTCCGATCACGGTGTCTTTGTGAGTGCCAGATTTATATGATTCGATCTAAAATGATTAGCTGACTGTTTGAATTGTTTTTTCCATGCAGCAATTGGATATCTCTAACCCTCTTGCACTCATCAAACTGGATGACGCTGACGAACCACTTGTTGGCTTTGATATAAAGAACGGTCTGCTCTTTCTGGCCTACGGAAACAACACCATTGAAGTGAGTGCGGACAAACAACGCTTGGAACTCCAACAAAACTAACAGTAACTCTCTCTCTCTTTTTCTGTAGGTTTCCCGCTTTATCTACACCGACACAAGGCTGCTAAAGGATGTCCTCTGCAGCACACGCATCACAGAGGAGGCAAAAATTAGTTATCTAATAGCCACAGATGACGCTTGCCTGTTTGCGCTGGGCTTCGAGAGTGGCCTTATCGAAGTGAGACTCTTTTTTCCTTTTGTTTCCATAATTTTTAATCCCTTTTTGTGTGCATTAACAGCTCTACTCGCTGGCAGGAACTGCCATTCAGCTGGTCTACAGCATGAGGGAAGTGCACGAGTATTGCATCCGGCAGCTGCGTTTCTCGCCCTGCAAGCTGCTGCTCGTTAGCTGTGCGGAGCAGCTGTGCTTCTGGAATGTCACGCACATGCGGAACAACCAGGTTGAGTCGCAGCTGGCCATACGACGCAGCCGACGCCACAAGCTGTACAGCGTTGAGCAGGAGGATGCTGTCGACGCGGCACCCATTGTCTCTGACATGTCAGAGCCGCCACCGCCACAATTTGTAGCCGCCTATACGCGGCAGCCCATGCGCGACACCCAGCCGGAAGCAGAACTGTGGCGGAACAAGCGTGGCAATGCCATTCGGCCGGAGCTGCTGGCCTGCATCAAGTTTGTGGGGAACACGGCCTGTCAGTTCTTCACCGACGCCAAGTTCTCGCAGTTCTATGCAATAGACGACGAGGGCGTCTACTACCACTTGCAGCTGCTGGAGGCAAAGCACCCGCGCAGTGGATCGCCCTCGGACTTAGAGAGGGCTGAGAGGCTTTCAAGCGAGATGTTCAGTGACCTGCAGTATGCGAATCTGGAGGACATTCGAATAATTGAACCCACATTGACAATTGCGGATGGCATCGATGACGTGGGTGCCGATGTCGTTGGGGACTTGCAGGCAGACGCGCCGCTGGCTGTCGAAGAATGCAGCTCATGACGCCAATCGTGCGCCACTTCCCGGCGCACGGATGAGGGCAATGGACACTTCCATTATGCATTTATAGGATTAATTCTCTCTTACTTAGTCGCAATGGTATTCTACTGCCTCAAGCACGATGTGTCATAGTCTCTCTGCATGTACATGCACTAAAATGTATTGCTGGGGAACGGAACGGAACGGGAATTTTGAAAGGGCTTCTCAGGGGGACGATGCCCTACTATTGTGTCTGGCCAAACGACCCGCGCCCCAACGTCTGCGTCACACAAAAATACAAATTGTACGATACACACGATTCGCCTGGTGTTTATTTTGGCTTTGGATTTGTTCGATTTTGGCCAAATTTATTTATTTATGCTGTTGGATTAAGAAAAATATGAAAACTATAGTTTTTGTATTGCGAAATGTTTTGCTGTGCAATTGTAAGCGCTGAGTGTTGTTGTATCCGCATATTCCTATTCAAAGATTTTCCTATTAGCTAATTATTTGGGCCGTTATTTGGAATTTAAAGGCGGATTTTAGAGGGAATAAATATCGATACTAATGGTACGGGAAGGCTTAAAACAATAGGGGTCTTCAGGTCATCAAATTCTCGAATTATTTAAGAAAATATTTTATTTTCTGCACCTTTAATGTTTATGCAGTGTAAGCGGCAGCTATATATGCATTTACTTTGGTTTATAGTCGGTCTGGTAGCAACGCAGCAGTATTATTTAGTTAAAAAGGCTACGAAAAATGCGTTTACCAGACTAGTCTGGGATTTAGAGTGTTCATGATTTCTGGTATATCGGTACATAAACTAGTATATTTCATACATTTTTTGTTGCAGCGCGGTATATTTCTGACTCGGTCTGGCGGTTTATTTAATCAAGAAATTCGCGGTCACACTGGTCGTCGTGCGTGCTGAGCGCGATAAGTAGAAAAACAATTTTCTCTGCTTTGTTGTAGAATATAGTTAATATCAATAAAAGTGCGCTGTTATTTTGCGTGCGTACATATATGGAATCAATGCGCCATCGTTAGCAGGCAGCGCTGTCCAGCAAAAGTAAGAAAGAATGATATGTATGATATGATGCGCAGCTTGCTACGCTACGCGCTCCGCTCCGTTCGTTGTGTCGTTTTCGGTTTGTGAGCTCACTTTTAGCAGGGGCAATAAATAAGATTTGTACATGTACTGCATATACACATATGTATGCACATACGTACAATGAGCTTGCACACATAGCTGTGTGCTCTAAGTGAAGGTGATTTAACAAAATGCAAAAGTCGGTTCGCGTGTGTGCAATGCTGGAAAATTATTACGGCCTAAGTTCATCTAAAAACGATCTCTAACCTATTGAACACACACATAAGGATACATATAGGGGCACGTACGTACGCGCTGGCGCACACACAGCCACAAGTGAGTTGCTGTTGGTGTGTTTGTGTATGATGACCCAACAGCAGCTCAGCAAAACAATATGGCTGCCACCGCCACTTGTTAGATATAACAACAGACGCGAATTGAAAGAAAACTCGTCGCTTTTTATCAAATTTCCATTAATTTAGCCGTCGCCAGGGCTCTGAAGCCGCCTTTCGCTAAAATCGAATTAAAACGATGTACGTACTGCAGTTCAAGAGTTCACTACCCAAACACAGAGGCACGGGCGCACACACACCCGCGCAGCTAAATGTGTACTCACACGAGCATACACACACACGAAAATTTCACACAAAATGCGTTTGCGGCGATGATCGCACTCGCACCCCCACAAACACGTCTAGTGTGTGTTTGTATGTATACACATTTATTCAATTAAATATTTGCGTTTAATTATGAAAGGAGTGAAACTGCAGGGTTTGACTTTATTTTGTGTATACACGTTGAGATCAGTGCGATAAGAGTGGTGTACCCTGCTGCGATAAGTTTCCCCCATAAGCAGTTAATTGAACAATCAGCTGTTTGCAATGATGAGAACATCAAATATCTGTACCTTAACGGTTGTGTTTTCTTAGGATATATCTCATAAGGGATTTATTCTCGCATATACATTGACAGCCGTTTTGCGCCTGTCCATTCTGACCCATTAGTAGTGTATTAGTATTTATTTTTTCGGCCAAAACTTGTTTTACCCCCACCCTCATCCCCCCTAATCGGCGTCGGTCGTCGTCATTCGTTCGGGTGTTTCGTGAAAACTAGTCAGCAAAAAAGAAGAAAAAAAGAGTACAACAAAAACAACAAAATAACAGAGCGCCAGAGCGCAGACGTTAACGGAAGTGTGAGAATGAGAGAGGGTGCGGCGGGGGCTGGCAAGGAGGTGCGAAAGAGATGACTGTATTGAAATGAAAACAATGGAACTGCAAGGAGATCGTTGCATGTTCGTGGTCGTCCCACCCCCTCCTAATCGATATTTGTGTGTGTTTGTGTGTGTGTGTCTAGGTTGGAGAGTGAAAATAAATATAGCGAAATCATATTACGAAAATCAACACAATTAATAATAATAAAAGAAAACTCGACAAACAGCTGCAAAAAAAAAAAAAAAAAAAACAACAACCACTGACAAACAGCCGCCAGAGAAGCCAGAACTAGATCAAACCCAATTAAATCATCTTTAATTCGTGCAGTGCAGTGCAGTGAGTGCTCTGGAATAATTCCGAACAGAGTGCAGTGCAAGTTTTTCGCGAGAACATTTAAAAATAGCCACCACTACCGCTGTCGCGAGGGCAGTTCCACCCCCGATTCTGGGGAGGTGTAGGAGGAGGATCACCACCAATTTTTAACCCACCAGCAGAGCCAGCGCAGGAAACAACCCACCCTATGGATGACCCATCAATCAAGAAACGGTGAGCTACAGTCCTAGTCTAGAAAGGCTTCTCCCAGAACGCAGATTCCAGATGCAAGGAGGCATCCACACATTACTCATTCGCGTAGTTTGATTTGTGAAAAAAACGACGATAAATGTTTATCTCCGTAAAGTAATATACGATGTATTTTCCTCCCCATGTTTCGTATTCGTATCCAAAGTATGACATATGCTCATATGGCCTACACTCTGGTCTCTGCTCGCTCGTTCGTTTGGTTTATATTGTAAGCTTTGGTGTGTGTGGGGGGGGGGACAGTGGCGTCCATTAATGACGAACGTTTTTATTTGCTTAGCTAGATTAGAGAAACTAATGGATGGAGCAAGGGAATCCAGATTCTAGCAGTCCAAGCTGATTTGCTGATTGCTTTTTGGCAATAGGTTCGCTCGGGGGTTGGTTTTTTGTGTTTTGTTTTTAGTTTTGGTGGTTTCGTGGTTGAACCGCATGCGATGACTTAATACACAACAACAACTAAGGAGCGGCCAGTTTTCACATTCAATTACCTTTATTTTTCTTTTGTGGGGTAAGTTTTAGCCTCAATAGATATAGTTTTTGGCCAGGCTTAGTGTGAAAGCAAACACCCATTGGGAGGCGCACAAAATCAGCTAACTTAATCATAGACTAGCGGACTGGTAGGCGTAAGGGAGGGGTGGTGGCTTGTTACTCAATTTGTTTGCCTGACATTGTGGGCCTTAACAGGTTTTACTGTCTCTCTGTCTGTCTGTCTGTCTGTCTGTCTGCCAACTACTAGTCATCACATCGTTTTGTGATGTGATGTGATGCAGTCAGACTTCCTCCTCAAAGACAGATCACTAGAGGCAGTCAGAGGGTAGGGGAATACGTACGTACGTATTGGCAGTGGGGGTCACTCCTCGGACCATCGTTAAGGTAAACATTGGTTTTATTTTTGGGGCTGCTGCTCGGCTGCCATGGAAATATATCATAATTTGTTTGATGGATTCGGCAGGCAGGCGGGAAATGAGATTTTATGGCAGTCCAAAGCAAAGTCAAAAGGCAGAGGCAGTAGCAGCGGCAGATGCGATTCTATTCACATGCAAAACGATCAAATAAACATCAATTAAACTGTATCTATTCTTTGGGCTGATTTAATTTTAGCTCAATTAAAAGAGAGACCGAACAGGCGGGCAGTCGCTGGCCATGACTTTCGTTACATGTTGTGTCTGCCTGTCTGCCTGTCTCTTGATTATCCACTAATCTGGCTAATTGTTTGTGGTTCCGGTAACTGAAAAACCTTCATACCAGATTAATTAATCCTTTAGTAAAACGATATAACTAATTCCCTTTCATTGGCTTATCCTTGCAGGTTAATTGATTTGTGCACCGACGAACATGATTACGATGAAGTTCAGGAGCTGCCGGAAGAGACAAGCATTCAGCAGCAGCAGCAACAGCAGTCCTCGGAGTCATCAGCAATTGCCACAACAAGCACCACGAACGGTGGTAACAGCAGCAGCAGCAGCAGCACCACAGCGGGAAAGGGAACTGGAACTGCCACTGCCACTGCCACTGGAACAGTTGTGCCATCTGTGGCTGCGTCAACGGCAGCAGCAGCAGTTGTTGTTGCGGATTCAGTGCCAGAGCTGCCATCGCCCAAGCAAAAATCTGTAAAGAATTCCAAAAACAAACAGAAGCAGAAACAGTTGGCGAACAAATCAAAAATACCCCGATCCCCATCATTGGCAAGCAGCCTGAGCAGTCTGGCCAGCAGTTTCAGCAGCCACAGAGACAAGGATAAAGACAAAGACAAGGACAAGGATAAGGATAGGGAGAGTCAGAGCAGCTCCGTGCCACCACAGACACCGCCATTGCCAGCCGGCTATCAGCAGGCGAATAAACAGAGCCAAATGAATGGTGAAGCCACTGCTGGTGGCGGCACAGCACCAGCACCAGCCACAACACCCACAACCCACAGTAATAATCATAATAATAATAACGTAGGAAACATGAGCGGGGATAATCCGCTGCTTGGGCCTGCGGATCGCAGTAGCCTCAACCTGACGACACCCCAGACACCGACAACGGGTGAGGGCACAACGCCAGCGACGACGCCGACGACACCAAGCTTGGCAATACCAAAAAATTTTCAGTATTTAACCCTGACAGTGCGTAAGGATGAGAATGGATATGGCATGAAGGTGAGCAGTCTGCAGCCCAAAATTGATTATATTTTCGTTGCTAATTCATTGCATTTCTATGCTCTAGGTTTCCGGCGACAATCCAGTGTTTGTGGAGAGCGTTAAGCCTGACGGAGCAGCCCAAGTGGCTGGTCTTGTCGCTGGCGATATGATACTGAAGGTATGTCGGCTGCGCCCTAAGATTTGAGGGGATTTGCTCATGGTTTCTGGTCTCAACTTACAGGTGAACGGACAGGAAGTGCGCCTGGAGAAGCATCCCACGGTCGTGAGTCTGATTAAAGGTTTGTCATCGCCCTGCGGCTTATATTTCTAATGGGTTGTACATTTTTTCTGTAGAATTTCGAGAGTCAGTCGCACTCTTTCGGATGATCACCAGCATCTGGCGGCGGGTCAGGACAGATTTTGCACTTCTTCTTGGGCTTCGCAGCGGAATGATTATTATTGGGTGGCTGTTCGGCTGGCGGTACTTGCGGACACTTGCGCTTCTTGTCTGCCCAGCCTTCTTCCTGTCGCTTCTTGCACTTGGGGCAATCGCAAATCGGCTTCTGGGGCATACGCGGTTTGTAGATGAAATCATCCTTGAAACGCTCCTTGCACGGAACCTGCGTCTTGGGGCAATCCTTGTCGTTGCAGTACGTTGACAGCGTGCCATCGTTGGGCACCAGTCCCGGGTCCGTCCGCTGGCCACACTTGCACTTTGAATCAGGAGCGGGCTTTATCGGCTGCACCAGCGGCCGCTCATCGATTTGTTTCTTGGAGATTTTTATCTCGTTCTTCGTTCGCTTGGCCATCAAGTCGCTGTACAACATGCGCACACGCTCAACGAGGGAGCCCACCATGCCGGGCATCGCCTCCAGACCATTTTGCATGAACGAGGGCACTGCGCTGAGTACTTCGAAGAAGGCAATCACCACCTGGTTGTAGTAGTGGACAACGGAGAACCGCCAGCTTCCCTCGGGCGGTGGCCGTGGCGCACATATTTTCAGCTTGCGACGCGCCTGCTCGGCATACGGTTCGATCTTCTCCGTCGTTATGTTGTAGATCTCCTGCGTTTCATCCGCTGTCCCCCAAATCCCATACCGTTTGGTGGCTACAACCAGAGCATACACGACGCCTGCCCGCACAACAAAGTCTATAATCATCCTGGGCCAAAATCTCGTCTCGAAATATTAATTTTACTGTGAATTTTGCTATGAGATGAAGTGTAAAGTGCGGCCATCTAAACGGGCTCACGTTTGCCGCATGTTACGTCGTCTTTGATTTTCGGGGATCGAATTTGCTTGCTGTCCTCTCGGGCATCCAGTTGCTCCTCATAGAAGCATCCTCGCAGCTGCTTTTGCGAACCCGTAAAGCTTTCCTGCTTCTCCTTTGGAAACGTTGCAACGGGGCTCTGCAGTGTTGTGGCCAGAATGTCATGCGTTTGCCGCTTGAATTGGGAGGCCCAGTCGGGCATGCGGAGAGAAAAGTAAATGCCACGCTGAATGGCCAAACTGTACTTTTGCGGCGCCACAAAGCTGCCCGATGAGAGTGCCCCTGCATCGAATGAAGGTTTCCGTTCCATTTTAATGAGAATTTTGTCAACTTTTGCTTAGTTTATTTCTGATTGCCATGGGGTGGGTATGTGGCGTCGCCTACTTCTCATTCCCCCTTGAACAAGCGACAGATGCTGTCACCCAAGTCGCTCGCCACGCCGCCCCAGAGGGCGGGAATCTTTTTGACCGCCCTCACCGTGTCGCCCCAGGCATCGGCGATGCTCTCCGAAAAGGGTTTGGGTGGCGGCGGCTCACAGATGCCGCCTTTGGTGCAATACTTTCGCTTCAAGTCGTTTGTCTTGCGCTTTAGATCGCGTTTATCATCTTCATCGAGGAGGATGTTCTTGGGGCTCTCTTTCGACGCCTCAGCGTGAGCTGCCTCTGGTTCCTCTGGCCAGTCGCCCAGCTCTTTGATGAGTAAAATGCCGCCAACGAGTCCCATTACCTTGAGCACTTTTACCACAAACATTTTTAATTTAGAGCCTGGAATTTCACGCGAATTTTATACATTTTATTTCGACAAACAATTCAAAGTCTTTTATCTTTTTCCCCTTTTGCAGCTTCAACTATTGTGGAGTTGGCCGTGAAGCGGCAGAAGATGACGCGTCCAGCGTCCGTTGGTGTGGTGAGCACGCCCATGACACCGATTTTATCGGGAAGAGATCGCACAGCATCCATTACAGGACCACAGCCGGTTGACGTAAGTGCAGATAAGAGACCTTTGCAGGTTGATTGAATACTAAATTGTTTGATTTTGCAGAGCATTAAGCGTCGCGAGATGGAATCGTACAAGATACAAACGCTGCAGAAGATGCTGGAGCAGGAGAAGCTGAATCTGGAGCGACTGAAGAGCGATCAGAATAATCCCAGCTACAAGCTGTCGGAGGCAAATATACGAAAGCTACGTGAGCAGCTCCATCAAGTGGGAGCCGAGGTGAGTGTGCCCCCCGGAGATTGGGTTTAGTAGCAGGAAAGGACTAAGCTAAGCGCTAAGCTAAACCCCAAACAACTAAAGCCTAACCAAAGTGCCAGAAGCTCTCGCTAAATGTAGTAGAAAATGTGTGTTTTTTTTTGTATAAGATTTGTGGAGTAACCGAAGTAGCTACGAATGATGTGAATGGATGATGAAGTTACATGATCTCTCTTTTTTTTCTCTTCCATTTTGTGCTGTCTTAACCGAACTGTCCTAACTGCAGGATGCACCAACAATTAAACTCCAAGCAGCCGCGAGCAACAAGAACACCGCATTACTAACGCCCAATCAAATCCAACACTTGTCTGCGTCCGCCACTCACAACAATCCGCATCAGCATCAGCAATTCCATCATCTCCACAGCCACAGCCACAACAACTATCAGCATCAGCAGCAACAGCCACTGCCACAGCAGCCCCTAGCACACCACTCCTCACCCGCATTCCTATCCCTACTGCCGCGTTCTCTCTCGTCCCTGTCGCTGGGCACACGCAAGAACCGCATCGACAAGGACTTTGTTGCCTCCTCGCCGTTCAACAATACAGCGGACTTTCTGCAGCACCAGCGGATGCAGCAGCAGCACCAGGCCGAAGCCATGTCCCAGTCAATGCACCAGCAGACATCCACACCGACGATGCAGCAGCAGCAGCAGCAGCCGTTCTTCCATCCGCACCTGCAACAGCTACAGCAGCAACAGCTGCAGCAGCAGCATCGCTTCAAGGAGACACCCAAGTCAACTGCCGGCTCGAAGAGCAAAAATAAGTTCCTCATCTCCAAGAGCCTTATCGAGGAGGATGTGCCGCCACCTTTGCCGCAGCGCAACCCGCCCAGGCAGCTGAATCTCGACCTGAAGAACGGCAATGCATCACCACAGAGCGGGCATCTGGTGGCGCCCGTCTCCGATCTGGACAGAGCCACCAGTCCGCAGCTGAACAGATCGCAATTGGGCGCCGGCGGCAGCAACAGCAACGACAACAGTCCCAGCAGCAACGCCAGCAAGTCCAAGCGCTCAAAGATCAAGACCAAGGCCCTGTCCGACCCAAAGATGTCCACGCAAATGTTTCTGCAAATGGAGTCGGCGTGTGCCACCGGTGGAGCTGCGGGTGGGTCGCTCGAAGTGGACAGTGGACCACCACCATTGCCACCACGACTGCCTGGCATGATGTCGGAGGATATGAGCCGTGGCAGCTGCCAGAATCTGGCTCAGCCCAACTCCCTGAACAGCGCGTTCAACTACCCGCTGGTGTCCACGTGCACGGCCGTTCAGAGCGACAACCTGAAGGCGGCCTTTCCGCTCTCCCAGCGGCCGAATATTGTTCAGCAACTGCAGCAGCATCAGCAGCAACAGCAGTTAAGCAGTGGCCAGGCCACAGCCGTAAGTAACCAGCCAAACGATCGATCGATCGAACTCACACTGAAAGCACTCGTAACTTTTAATCCTTCACTGCCTTTCTCCATCTCTCTAACATCCTTACTGTGTCTCTCATGCTTTTTACTTGATACAAATGAAGGTCTGGTTGCTGCTGGCCAGACCTGAAGCTACCATCCAATCTAACATGAACATAAAAACTGACATAAACACTAACATAAACATTAACATAAACTTTACTTTGCTTATGTGCCAGACCGCCACTAACTGCAAAAACAACCGAAACTTACGCGCACACACGGACACGCTACCGAGCACGCTTTCGAGCACTGTTTCGAAGTCGAATATCGAAATTATTTCATCATTTATGTGGGCTCCTTTTTTTATTGTATTCGAGACTTGAAAGACTTTTGCAAGTGCAACTAAATGCAGGAATAATCTATGTTTAGATCATGGATAGTAGCGTCTCCTTTTCCTCTTATATTTTGTTCACCATTTATACCACCCCCACTCGCCCCACTTCCACAGGCTCTGGGACAGACACCGAATTTGGGCAAGAAGAAGCATCGACGCGTTGGCTCCTCACCGGACAACATGCATCCACGGCATCCAGGTGAGAATTTTGCAATAATTGTGGCCCAACAGAAGCTTTAATTGATTCATAAACAATCTTCAGATCGCCTAACGAAAACCACTTCCGGCTCGTGGGAGATTGTGGAGAAGGATGGAGAAGTGACACCGCCCGGCACACCGCCGCCACCGTATTTGACCAGCTCGCAGATGACATTGCCTGAGGATCCGAACGAACAGTGCAGGGGAGCTGCGGGAAGTGGCGGTGCAGGAATATTCATTGAATCACATCACTATACGCCCATGGCAGGCGCTTCGTCACCGATACCGACGTCCCTACATTCCAGCCATTCGATACAGGCCGCACAGTCGAACGACACGCAGAAGGAGATCATCTCCATGGAGGATGAGAACTCGTCCGACCAGGAGGGGCCCTTCATTGACGAGAACGGACCGTTCAACAATCTCACGCGGCTGCTCGAGGCGGAGAATGTCACCTTTCTGGCGGTGTTCCTCAACTATGTGCTGTCGAACTCGGAGCCGGCGCCGCTGCTGTTCTACCTGATAACGGAGCTCTACAAGGAGGGCACCTCGAAGGATATGCGCAAGTGGGCGTACGAGATACACTCGACATTCCTTGTACCGCGTGCACCGCTCTCGTGGTACCGCCAGGATGAGTCGCTGGCCCGGGAAGTGGACAATGTGCTGCAGCTGGAGTTTGACAAGGTGGAGATCCTACGCACAGTCTTCCTGCGCAGCCGCAAGCGTGCGAAAGATCTGATCAGTGAGCAGCTGCGAGAGTTCCAACAAAAGCGCACCGCCGGCCTGGGCACCATCTACGGTCCGACGGATGAGAAGCTGGCCGAGGCGAAGACCGACAAGCAGCGAGAGCAAATCATTGACAAGTATTTAATGCCCAATCTTCAATTGTTAACGTGAGTTTGTCAACCAATTGCTGCAGAAACCTTTTCGTCAACTTTTAAATTTGTTTAGCAGCGAGGACTTTGAGAAGGATTCCCCCACAGAGGATGTGCGCAAGCTGGCTCTCTGTTCAGCTCTGTCAACGGTTATTTATCGCATTTTCAATACACGTCCCCATCCGAATAGTATTGTGGAGCGTGTGCATCACTTTGTCAGCAGGGACAAGAGCTTCAAGTCACGCATAATGGGTAAAAATCGAAAGGTGTGTACAAACAATGAATGCCAATGAATGATTGTACCCTAAAATATAACCTCTCAATCTCCATTTCCGTTCATAGATGAATGTTCGTGGTCATGCATTGATATTGCGTCAATACTATGAAGTGACTCACTGCAATCATTGTCAAACGATTATCTGGGGAGTCAGTCCCCAAGGATATCATTGTACAGGTGCGTACAGCTCTCTCAAGTGCTAATGCCCCGTGCTAATCCTTTCTCTCCTCCCCTTTACAGACTGCAAACTGAATATACATCGTCAGTGTTCGAAAGTGCTGGAAGAGAGCTGTCCCGGCCCTTTGCCGCAGGCCAAGCGTGTTGCCCATAATGATAAGATTAGTAAATTTATGGGCAAGATCCGGCCACGTACCAGCGATGTAGTTGGAAGTAAGTACAGGATTTTCTATAATATTGATTTAATTAATTCATATTTTCCCTCTTCCTTTTTTAGATGAAAAGCGCAGTCGACAGGATGAGGACTTGGACATTGACATGACGCCTGGTGAGTTTTAATAACTCTCCAATTGAGTCTTTAGTCGCTTACCTTTGGGTTTTTTTTAGAGCGCGGTCAGTCGTCCATTGTGCGACAGCCTTCGGATCGTCGACCGGATGCAAATATATCGATGCGTTCGAATGGGAATGCCTCCTGCAACACCTCGGCACTGAACAGCACTGATCTGCAGAGTTCGTTTCATGGCAGCAGCGCCAACGATAGTATTAACCCAAGTGCCGCCAGCTGTCCCATGGATCTGTCCACGAGCGTGGCATCGACGGCTCCATCGAGCAGTGGCTCTGTCTCTGCGGGGCTGAGTGCCTTTGCCGAGCTAAATGCCCCAGATGCAGTGGATAAGGATGCGCGTAGGGAACGGTAAGTTTCATATCTCCTTTGACTGGCTCTATTTAACGCGTTAACCTTTCGATCCTCGTCGCAGATACACCCAAAATCCGCAGCACAAGAGCGCGCCAGTGTCCGTGAATCGTTCGGAATCATATAAGGAGCGCCTGTCCAACAAAAGAAACCGCAACAGTCGCCGCAAGACCTCTGATCCAAGTTTATCGTCACGTCCCAAGTAAGTTTTTGGTGGCATCGATTTCAACGTACCCCACGCAACCCCCTTCTGTCGCCTATAAATTGCTGTTCCATGCCAAGGACATTGCCGTGCCGCTCCCTAAATTCTTTCAACTAAAACATTTCTCTTACTGTGTCTGCCTGTCCGCTGTCTGCTGTCTGAGGGAGCACAAGTAACCGGATATTAATTTTACTAATTAATGCGAATTGCGTCGCAATGCAATCAATATGGGACTCAGCCCGTCCCGTCCCTCTTCCGCTGCTGCGTTGCTGCAAAATTTTCCATTCACTCTAAAGGATGCGCTT